AACCAAAATACGGGCAACATTCGGTTTTAAACATTTTGCAGTTTTGTATACAGTAAATACAGCTCAACATTGTCGATTCTATAAAAGTTGTAAATAAATTTAATAGATATAATCAAAAGTCGGCCTTAAGTGCTAATCTGCAAATAACGATAAGACGATAACATTTAGACATAACATACGACCACTACAGACGAGGTTCCTTGGGCTTCCACATTAAAGTATGGCGGGGTTCAAATTTTATTTTTACCTCTTAAGTTTCAAACGTTTCAGCATATAGTATTGTCATTGACACTAGCCTATATACATTTAAAGAACCTTAAGTGAGCAAGCACCACTCCTCGCTCCATATAAATTATGAATTAAAACAGTAATATTGCACACAAATTTATTTCTAGTAACTGTTACCTTGACCTTAGTTAAAGAAACATAAGGATCTTCTTCATCCTCTTATTAGATGTGACCACATATCCTAGTAAGTCCTCTTCTTTTTCTTCCAAATTATTCCCACATTCAACATTCTGAATATTCTGGCAAGTTGCGCATGATTAAAAAAAACTTGAGACTTGAATATCTCACTCAAAAGACTTTGCTGTTGCGATATCTGGAGGCAGTTTGTTCCAATCCTTGACGGTGTTTACGAAGAAGGACCATTTGCTACAATCTTTGGTGGCTGTCTGTAATAGGTAAGTATAATGTCCTGTTCGACTAAAGCTTCTTGTTGGTTTTTGTAGGTATATACTCTTGCCTATGGCTACAAGGTCATTTGTTATTTTGCAACACATGATGATCCATGATGAGTCGAGCTTCTTTTCGTCTAGTTTGTAAGCTTTTCCATCCTAATTCGGTTATCATGTTGCTGACACTTTATCTTTTTCTATGTCTGCTGGTTACTTATCGTACAGCTCGTCTTTATACTTTTTCAATGTTATCTATGTGGTTTTACTGGAACGGGTTCCATGCTGTCGGGGCGTATATTATTTGCGGTCTTACTAATATTTTATGGACATGCTCTTTGATGGATTTTGAGCTGATGTGGAGGTTTTGATGTAAGAAATCAAGGCTTCGATTGGCTTTTCCTGTGATGTTGTGTATGTGTTCTCTCCAATATAAAAAATTTGCAATGGTGCGGTCTATGTATTTAGTCGATGTTTCATGCTCCAGAGTATGGCCGCTTGATTATATTTTTTTTTGTGACTGTGAGGACACTGCATTTTTCAGGATGGAACTCCATTTTCCTAAGTTTTTCCCATGTTGCCAGTTTGTCCAGGTCTTCTTGGAGTTTATGGCAGTCGATGTCTGAGGAACTGGTCTAATAAACAACAGTATCGTCCGCAAACAGTCTCACTGATGAGTGTAGGCCTTCTGGTAGGTCGTTTATATAAATAAGAAAGAGACTGGGTCCTAAGACTGATCCTTGTGGTACTCCGGATTCTACTTTCACCTTGTCTGATCCTATATAATAAATCTTGAAACCACTTTCTGGTCATTTCTTTAGTAATTATTACCGTGGCCTTAGACCTACATAATCTAAGCAAGCATCAATTCTATATGTATTATTTGATTTAGAATCTGGAAACCCCTTTATTGCACTGATTTTTTTCAGGAAATACGACCTTGACCTATCAATAGGATTTTCACCGCACTAAATGTGACCATACATCTGAGTTACGTTAGGTTGCAATTTGGATATAAAGTATTTGTGTTAGCCTCTGGAACCGAAAATGACTGACGGACGGCGAAAACTAAATTCCCCGAGCTATAATATACTAGTAGTTCTAAGCGATGGTACTGGTTGTGGTTCAATTATAGAACAATAAATAAAGGTTTACGTACTGTAACATATTGGATTGATTCATTGTTGTTTGCTTTATGTTCAGTGGCAAATATTTCATGCATGTTCAGTACAAGAACAAATTAAAAATAACTATAATAGGAAGGTCCTGTAATAGATATCATCTCGGATGAAGGCGGGTAAATTTGGATTGCCACTGGGAAATGAGGGTATATTAGAAAGGGACAGGCTTAATATATTAGAAGATGTTCTCATATTGCTATTTGTTTTTGTTTTTTTTTTGGTTTTAAATAAAGGCAACAGTAGTATACCGCTGTTCGAAATTCATAAAACACAGTTATCATAGAACGAGCTTTTGTCCATACACTTTTTGGGAGATGATCGCCCGATCTTTATACTACCATACGGCACTCAGTGTTATGGAAAAAAAACCTGATCAACGATAGTAGGCTTATAATTTTGTACGCCAGACGCGCTTTTCGTATACAAAAGACTCATCAGTGACGCTCGAATCAAAAAAAGTTACGGCAAAATGAAGTTGATGAGCATTGAATTATTTATTGTAAAATTATACATGCAATTGTCTTTATTACAAAATTACGTATTAACTGAATAAAAATCCGTTCCGGTACATATAATGATTTAGTGTATTCTCTAAGTAATATTTAATGATTATATAATATTATATTCTTCGTGAATTAGTATGCTTAATTATAAATACAATACATTAATCAATAAAACACGAATCACACATGGATTTGTCAATTCAAAAACAACTGAAAACGTAGGTTTGTCCGTTAACATTTGTTTTTGTACAATCCAAAAGAAATCAATCAAACTGACTTAAGGGTTAATTTGGTATAGAAATATTCTTATCCTTAGACTTCCCCCGATCCGTCAGTAAAACCCTTTCTGAAATAGGGCGTCAATTTGGTTGTTTGGGACATATAAATACACAGCCACGTCTGGTCGGAATGGGGACGTTAAATCAGATGTCTCGTGTAAAGACAGTGTCACACCCTCTGCAGTTGATAATCCTTGCAGCAATTCTCTGAGTGTTCAGTAGGTAGCCTGTTGCTTAGCAACATTTCTGTTCCTATATATCCAACCTACCCTAACTTTCCACAGGCAGTCCAAATTTCCAACCCACCATCCGGATCGACTTCTACCTTGGAATATCGACCTATTGTATCTATAATTGTTAATACGTTCACGTCTTGAACATGCATACAATTTTTACCACCGGGCGTAACGCAAATAACAATTTATCAATCAAATGTACATTATATCTACCTGGTAGCATTGTTTATCTCCTTTTTTCAGTTCAAACGAGTTGATTTTTTTAATGAAAAAAATGTTTTAGGCATTTCCTTAGACTAATTTTTAATGAATTTGAAAGTTCTGAAAACACAATGTAAGATATATTCGATTGGTTGATTCTTGGTGTTTAACGCCACTTTCAGAACTATTGGCTATTTCTATGAGGTCAGTTGTTACATTTGTATCGGTGGAGGAAGCCGTTGTGCCCGTGGAGAACCAACGATCTTCGGCAGGAAAAATAAGATATATCTGAACCTTTGATCAATTAATTGATTCTTAACTAACAACTGCAATGTTGATAAATTGTAACATGTTTGAGCATTTTCCAAAAGACATTAAAAAAGGCCTTTTTACATTAAAATCAAAATCAAATATCATGTAAAATTATGTTATCGACTATTTTCTTTTGAATTCAGGCCCGATCCATCATGCAGAATTCCACTACAACTTGTAAAAACAATATTTCATTAAAATTGACTTCAATAGCAATGTATATGACTGAAGAGATAACCTCTTTCTGCAATTAGAAACGCCGTTAAAATTCTTTCACTTGTAAAATGTAATCTACATTGATTATCGGAAATTGGCCTTATTGACAGTCAAAATGTTTGTTGTAGCATGTCATCTATGACCATTAATAAGCTCAACAACTATGTTAAAGTATAAAGTATTTATTTTATTGATAGAACGACGAAATCAAAGATGTGTAATTCCTTAAGAAACAATTCTGAAATTGGGTCAAGTGAATTTCTTTTAAGAGAACGACCATTTAGCACTTCAAGGGGGTTATGGTTTTTTCCTAAAAAAATATTCTGATCACCAATTTAATGAAAAAAAATATTGTGGTCAAGCAGATAACAAAGGATAAAAAAACTAAAAAAGAATGTTGCGCGAAAAAAAATTTCTGACTCAGACAAAAAACCATAACCCCCCTCCTCTTGAAGTTAAATGGCTGCTCCCTAAACACTAAACATACTCATTTTTTATTCTATTCGATACACTAAACACATCCAAGAATGGGCTTATGACATAATCGATACTTATTTTACTGCAACAGATGCATATTTCGACAATAAATGTCTCTGCAATGATGTTTGAGTCCAAAAATTTTGAAAAACCAAAACTAACACAAACGTTGAAGAGGTGATAAAACCAAGACGGACCAATAGTATAGCCAAATCCGTGCAAATAATCCGAGCTTTGCATGAGGGAGATATATAATCTTTATTTTAAAATGATTACCAAATTTTAATCAAACAATTTCCGTATTATCTAATTTAGTATCATCTAACACAACCAAACAAACAGATTATATGTCAAATAAAAAAAAAAGTATTAAATTTCAGTACAAATAAACAGCGTCTAGGCAATTTTGAAACCTAGAAGTTGTTAACACGACTACTTTTTTGTCATACATTATAGGTCCGCTATCGTTATAAGTTTACCGTGTAAGTACAAAACCAAAAAATAGTCTTTTACATTTTGCGTCAGCCTCCTCAACTTTATAGCTTTCGGGCATATACTATTGCACAAATATTCGTAAAAAAAATTAACGGTACTAATTTTACTGCACAAAATGCGCATTTCGACAATTAATGTCTCATCAGTGATACAGGAGGCAAACATATTTTAAAATCCAAAACCTTAATACATACTTGTACTTTGAAGAGCTGACATAATCCCAAAGAGACCAAAAGTATTTCTAGCCAAACACGGACAAGGTTAAATGAAGAAGATAAGCTTTATTTAATTATACATGTATATTGAACAAGTTCGTCTCACGAAAAAAAAACCTGTATAATTACATTTGTTACATGTGTCTATAAACAAAGCTGATAAAACTCAAAATAACAAGCAGAACTACCTATGATAAAAAATATGTACTTACATCTGAATGTGCTCTCAATCGCTTATTTTCCTGTCTCCAAGCGAGAGCGGTGAAACTTTCAAAGAAATTCCCGTCCGCTTCATGAACTCTGGAATAAAAAGAGTTTTTCGGTTTAGCTTTCGCCATTTCACTTTTTTCTACGATAACATAAGTAAATGGAGCTCTATTCACTGTAGTCTCTACAGATAATTATATGATATCCCATATCTCCTTTTTTTCAAAGCCGTTTTCTAGTTATATTCATAATATCTATATACTAAGATGTCCTGTTTAAATATCCGATACACTTAGGCTAGTGATATGAGCTTCCTCTGTTATTAATCATGTCGCTTCGCATGTTGAACTGAATATTTCTTCCATAAATAACAAAATATAAATAGTTAACTATAAAGTCATTAATATTCATAAATATTCAGTTACTTAGATCAATGAAAATGACAACACAATGTGTATTGCAAATTGCAATGTCACATAGTATATTTATATTTAACACTGAAATCGATTAAGCTAATGGTTGGCCTGTCAATAATAGAAATTGGAGTTTCCATATTTTTCTAACATCGGCAAACTAGATATATAAAGTAAAAATCCCAATGTAAACTATAAAAAACCTATTATAAGATCGATTTGAAGTTGAATGGTTGAAGATAGTATTATTGATACAATAATGATACCTAGTTTCTTTGAACTTTAACGTATTTTCTACAAAAACATCAATATTTATTGTTTCTTCCTAGACGCGAAAGAGCAGTATGTGAATAGCCCAAATAAAATGTCAAAACCTATCAATATAACCAATAAAACCAATACAAAGTTTCTTCCCTTGGGCAAATTTAGTCGGATAAGCCACAAAGACTGCTGGAAGCTGCAAATTAAACATTTATGATGAGAATAATAGAATTTACTAGTCATTTTATTGTTTGATGATGGAGTTATTGTTAATATATCGACTTGATACAGCTGCCGTATTTTAGGTGCGATCTAACGAAATATATAATCCATATGATACAGAAAATTGACCAGTTATATTATACCTGTACCACAAGAAGATTCCATTCCAGAATTATCTATTACAATATTTATTGTGAATGAAAATTGTCAATTAGGTATTATATGAGTAATGACGTTATTAAAATTAGTTTTAACAGTTTTTAAGACAGTCAGCAGAAAAAATTCACAACCCTTTGCCCGAATGAAAAATATATAGATTCCAACACTACACCAAGTATGTTACGATATTTCTCCACTCGAGACAGTTAAATTTTAATATTTAAAGCGCGAGAATTGCCGAGCGTTTTAAATAATTAAAATCTATCTGGTGAGAGTAGAGAAATATCGTAATACACGAGTTATAGTGGTGTAATCTGTTTATCTAGACGATATCCAAACAAAGTTTATCCTTCCTTTTCAAAGATTTGCAGAAAGTTGTGTTCTTTATATTGACGTCATCAGGCATTTGCTATGACGTCCCAATAGGAAATTCAGAAGAAACCAAGAAAATTTGACGTCATAATTAAATTTCGACCAATCATTTGCCGAGGACAAAGTTTTCTCTAGAGATGAGAAATATTTTTCTCACACCGATCGAGAAATGTGAAAAAAATCATGAAAATAAAGAAAACACCATCCAAGCACTATACAAGGTTACATGTAGTAATGATAAACATCTATAAAATACCGTTTATTGATAAATATCGGAACGGTCCGATTTCTCTCACCTTCTAACTAGTGTTACTATCATGCTAAAAATGTTGAATTTGTTCTAATTTTGTGCTGTTACACCATTGTTCAATATAAGGCATCTACATGTTTTACACCGCCACATTCTTTATGTGCCTGTCCCAAACCTGCTGTTCGGTGATTGTCGTACATTGGTATCTGTCATAATTATTTTTCGTATTATGTTGTTTAAATAAGGCTATTGAGTTCCACTTTTGACTTGTTTCACATTGTGTTATTCCGGGGCCTTTTGTAGCTTACTATACGGCAAGGGTTTTTTTATTGGTTTACAACCTAGCAATTTGGTGTTAGGTAAAAAATTGTCTCATTGGCAATCATATCTACATCTATTTTGTTTGTATTGATATCCGTAAGACAATTGGACGTTACGCAGTACCACGTGTTGTTTTATTTTTATAATTAAAAATAAGGCGTTCAAACAAACAAAATCTAACATAAACAGTCTTCAAATATGAGAGTAAATGTGTTACATATAAAGAGCTAAATGAAGTTCCACTTGTCTATTGTTCATACGTTGACCTCTAAATAAAAGGAGAAGGTTCAGTAAGACCCCTTTTTGGCCCCAAAATATAGCAGTTTTACAAAATTGTTAAAATGTAAACTTTTAACTATTCATTGGAAAGAAGAATACTTCTGTTACATACATATGGGCTGTTTTTGATAATACAATGCACATGTATCGGGTACTAGCATCATGAAGTCATGCTAAATAACTGAAATCTTCGAAATTTTATCATTTTGGTTAATTTTTAGACGGTTTCCGTCTGAAATGAAAGTGGGCGCATCTGTGTTCATTCTTAATATTTAAATGTAAGTTGTATTTGATGATAATACATAACATATATAAAGGTTGAGAATGAACACGGATGCGGCCACTTTCATTTTTGACAAAAACCATCTGAAAAGTGACATATTATGGCATATTTGATAGATTTTACATATTTAAGCTTGAATTTGAGCGTCTTTAATGACTAAATCGGTTCAAACCTTTCACATAAACTGATTGAATCGACTGAAGTAGACACTTAAGTGTTTAAAAAGTGTCCAAAATCTTTCATCAGATGAACTTGAATTTTGAGGCCAAAATCGGCCCTTACCGGACCTACTCCTTTGTTGGTTTTGTTTCGTTGGGTTGATGTCTCATTGACATATTAGGGGGACTTGGGAATAGAAAATATGGTCTCTACAGGTCTTCTTCCGACCGGCAGTAAAACCCTTGCCAAAGTGAGGTGTCCGTTTGGCTGTGCGGGATGTATCAAGTACGCAGCCACGTCGGGTCAGAATGGGGACGTTAAATCCGATCCCTCGTGTAGAGAGAGTGTCACGATCTCTGCAAGTTTTAACAGAACCCTTGCAAAAACTCTTTGATGGGTCCGTAGGTGGCCTGTTGCAAGGCTAAATTTCTGTCCCTATCTTATATATCCTCATTTTCCAGTGGCAGTCAAAATTTTCCGACCTGCAACCCAGTTGACCTCTATTACCGGACCTACCTATTGTATTTATTGTTAATTTGTTCTCGTCCTGAACATGCATGAAATATTTGCCACTGGACGTTAAGCAACCAACAATCAATCAATTATTGACATATTATACCAAATGGATCCTTTTATTCATATCCTTGACGTCAAATACAAAAGACCATATTTACAAAGCAGGAAATCAATCAAATCAAAACAAACCAACATTATAGTATCAATAATTATCTGCACATCTCTTGATGATACCGTTGATAGCTGACCTTGGGTAGGTACAAATGTAAAGTTACTGAGAAACGTTATCCCACACAGTTGCAAGTCGAACTCATCCTTTATGAGATTCACAATTACACTCTGGGGTACAATATATAACAGTAAAATGGTTATATGAACATGCCTAATTTTGAAATGTGCATTACCATATGAAATATAAAATTCCTTATGAAATTAATATACCTTATGGTATATAAAATACAATGTTGTACATTTGAATCCTGATAAAAGAGCAAACGAATGAATGATGGCTGTTACATTAGTAATGACTATGATTAAAAGGAAATGTATGGACCGTATATACAGTATTCAATATATATTAACAAGAAATCTCTCAGACCTTTTTGATAAATTGAAAAAATACAAGTTTAAATATCTGGACGTGTAATTCATTGGAGAGGTAATTCGGATGATATACTCATATTCATTTATAAGGTTATCAGGAAACCATCAAGATTGTTTATCAGAATAAATCTTTGGTTTTTATATAAATGACATTTAAAAAGAAATATTGTAGACCCCAATGGTTATACATCTACATAAAAAAAACTGAATGGTCGTTATAATAATAATAATAAATACAATATCTATAGAGCACATTATATAATAACAATTAATCTAAGCGCTTCACATTTAGAAATAAACGAAAAAACCCCAAAAAAAAACCATAAAACATAAAATACAAAGTACCAACTGATACGAATCAAACAAGCAGATAAAAAAGGCCTGTACCCTAATATATACAAAACAGTCCATGTACCCTAATATATACAAAACAGTCCATGTATCCTAATATATACAAAACAGTCCATGTACCAGTCCATGTACCCTAATATATACAAAACAGTCCATGTACCCTAATATATACAAAACAGTCCATGTACCCTAATATATACAAAACTATCTTTTGGGGTAGGGCCTTGTCTCATATCTAAATATCTTTCACAAAAACTAAACTAAAATAAATTGAAGCCTTATTTAGAAAGGTATTAATATATATATATATATATATATATATTGATTTTGGAGTCCCAATACAACAATGCCCAAAAATGACCAAAAATTGTAAATTCGTATCATGTCTTTTAGAAATGGAATCTACTTTTCAGTATTATTTCAAGGTCTGATAGTTCATGGTATAAATCATTCTTATGTAATGAATACAACACCATAAATTTGATACGTCTGAAGTACGTTCTGGATTAACCATCATCTATAATACTCAAATAAATAATCTGTAACCCATGGGTGTATAAGTTCTTTGAGGAGCTATCTAACCAAAAGTGACGACAAAAGAATAGCCAAACCCACACTAAAGTCTTCCTTGCCAAACCCACACTGAAGTCTTCCTTGCCAAACCCACACTAAAGTCTTCCTTGCCAAACCCACACTGAAATCCTCCTTGCCAAACCCACACTAAAGTCTTCCTTGCTTGCGGAAGCTAGAACCTTAGTTTTTTATAAAGAAACTAAGGTTTCAAATCCCCAGGCAAAGTTTTAGGTACTTTTTGGTCATATACAATGTATCTCTTCGACTGTTTCGGTTATTATTCATTATTGGCTTTCAACTATTCGGCTTTGAGCGTTCCTGATGACGGTAA